TATTCAGGGAAAGTCAGTCTTTGTTTTGCTTAGGCCTTCAGCTGATTGGGTGAGGCCCACCGACTGTGTGGCAGGCAGTCTACTTTACTCAAAGTCCACTAATGTAAATGTTAATCTCATTCAAAAAATACCCTCAAAGAAACATCCAGAATAAATGCATGACCAAACATCTGGGCACTGTGCCGGATCCTTCTATGTGACAGTAGCTGGAGGCGTCCTGGAACATAAAACCTGAGGAAACGAACTAAAGGACTAAAGGCTTTGAAGGCGTGACTGAACCCAGTCTTTGGATTGCCCCTGTAACCTCATAACCTATATTTCAAAACAACAGTAAGATGTCTCTTGTCCTGTTCTCTTTCTTTCCTCTGTCACCTTCATTTGGACATTAAAGCACTTAATATTATAGTAAACAGCATTCAACATTTGTAAACAGCTCATGTGCACATCCTGGAAGAACAATTAGCAAATCCATGGCTAGGTGTCTAGTTTTCTTGCTGTTAGCAATGCAGTGGTTACATAGCTATTTATACATAAAAAGACTGGCATTTCATCTCATCCATATGCAGCATGTGTAAGTTTAAATATTAATGTGTTACATGTCAGAGAAAACTCTTAGAGCAACACAAAAGGGTTTCTGGTAAGTAAGGCATACCGTAAAGCTGCAGGCCAACAGAAGCTCTGCTCCAACTGGATTGAATTAAAAGGGGAGTTTTCTGGCTCATGCACAGAAACCTTGGGCATAGTCAGGGGTACAGCTGGCCCTGGGTATGACTAGACCCAGAGGCTTGAACCCCATCAGAGATCTCTCATGCTCTCTCTCTGTTGCTTCTCTCTTGTGTGTGCTGGATTCCTGCACACTGTGTCAGACATGGTTACGAACCGTTCTGTAGTTGACCTGAGCAATTCAGAAAGAAAGAGAAATATTCCCACACCAGCCCCAGTTAAAAAATCCCAGAGATTGCACTCCACATAGAAAGGCAGAAAAGCTTCTTGCACTTTTTAGCTCCTTTTTTGAAGTCCTTACCTTAGTCTGTTTGGGCTGCTATAACAAAATAACAGTCCGAGAAGGTAGCAGGAAATTTCTTTCGTGTCTGGTGAGTGCTTGTTTGTGGCTTCAAAGATGGCACTTTCTTGCTGTATCTTCACATGGTGGAAGGGGCCAACAGGCTCCCTCAAGACCTTTTATAAGGATGCTAATCCCATTAATGAAGGCTCCACCCTCATAACCTAATCACCTCCAAAGGCTTCATCTCTTAATACCATCAGTTTGGAGGTCAGGATTTCAACATATGAATTTAGGGGTAGGGAACACAAACATTCAGACCATAGAAGCACCTCCCCCCCCCAAAAAAAAAATAAAAGATTTTTCTTAGTTCTTTTCTAAAATATGAAGAGGAATCACATTTGAAGAGATTTATGCAGATCGTCAGATCTGTTTCATTTAATGAAAAACTTACCCAGTATTCATTTGGATGGCATTATCTATGAAAAATGCTTGTCTAAGCACTATGGGGAATAAAAGTATGTGTTAATCAAGTCAAAGCATCTCAATTAAGTAATTGATTTTGCTATTAAAACTCAAAATGGGGGCCAGCCCGGTGGCGCACTGCTACAGTGCGCGGCTTGGGAGCACGGCAGCGCTCCCGCCGAGGGTTCGGATCCCACATACAGACCGGTTCCTGCTCACTGGCTGAGCGAGGTGCAGGCGCAACACCGAGGGTTGCGATCCCGTTGCCGGTCCCGGTCCGGGTGCGACACTGAGGGTTGCAATCCGTTGCCGGACACAAAAAAAGGAAAAAAAAAAAAACTCAAAATTGATCCCGATTTAATTTGATTTCCCCCCAGCTGCAACTATTAAGATATTAAGACTTCATCCCTCTTCCTCTCTAGCCCAACTTGCTGCTAGCTTTATTGCACCCCACCCTATACTACTATTTTAATACATTTCCTTTTTCTAAAAGATGCAAAGCCTTTCACATTACAAATCATCCTCATAAATTGGCTGCCAAAATAGGATCATTTTCTTTACCTCCTTTGTTCATAAAATAAGCCCTGTATATAAAATTATATTCTTTTTTTAAAAAATTGTATTCTTTATGGCTGTTTTCATTGTAGCCAAGAATCAATGTCAGAAAATGAAGAGCACCCAGACTGACGATTGTGAGAGCTCTTTTTATTTACTTTTATGCAAGAACAAAAATAGAAACTCTACCGCAAGCTCACAGCCAGCAACCAGGCTCCTGGAAGATGACTTTAAGCAACACCTCCCAGTGGTTTGGGTCATAGTCTTGTGTGGAACTTCATGAAGCTTACGTGAAATACATGAATATTGAAATAGTTATAGGAATATAGAGATAGAGAATCACAAATTGTGCTATTTTCCTAGCAATAATTTTAAAATTATTTTGAATTTTAGCCAAAAAACTTACTATTAAAACAGTCAGCTGTTTTATTTTGTAAGCATTGATGACGTTACCTAGTAGA